TTTTTCTCGGCAGACCTGCCGAGGCTACCTGCCAGCCCGAGACACGGCTAGGATAGACGGGGAGAGGAGGGGGTCTGCCCCCTGAGCGAGCGCAGGTAAGGGGGTCGGCGGCGTGAGCACGTGGTGAGGCTTTTCCAGGCTAGCTTAATTTTCACTGTGAAATTTATAGTAAATATATTAGTCATTCTGGGTAAATTTTACATTCATAAATCAAAATGGTCCAATAATACTCCCCTTTTTAGTACTTTTGAGGTGGATCTGATACACTATTTAAATTCTATACAAATTCTGATGCTGATATATGTAAAAAATGCAATTTGATCACATCATTTACTTCATTACCTCTGGCGGTTAAATGTTTTTTTTTCTCTTGTACCTGTTTTGGATCCTCTGGTTGTAGTTGTATTTGTAAATTCTTTATTCGTTTAAATAAAAAATCACTGTGAAAGTGTTGTGGACTTCTGCTCTGCTTTTTTTTTTGCGTCATACTTCTCTGCTCGCTCTCTCAGCGTTACTGTTCACCGGACATCATCCCAACTAGTGAAGAGACACAGTGACAGAGCGCGTTTTGTGTAGCGGACGGGCAGAGATGCGATTTAAAACTCTCGGAGTGGAGGATGAGGTAGTGAGAGCTGTGCAGGAAACTTCCTTTTGTAGAATGATATTATGAGTTTTACAGATCTTTATATTGATATGCGGAGCTCTTACGAGAATTTTTTATTTAAACGTCTTTCGGAATCGTTTTCCTTTCTTCGTGTGCGTCTGGAATAGTTCGGATTTTTTCAAGTTCGGATTTTAAAGTCCAGAAAACTCGGAATTTGACTTTTCGGATTTTCTCGCGAGATGAACCCGAAGCCGACATTCCTGTGGTCCAGGAGGAGGTGGCGTCACGGGTCCGGTCCGGCCGAGCTCTGCTGTTCTGGAAAAGTCTCTCCTGAATCCGGGAATCGGAATGGCAGCAATTTTGGATGATCTTGTGTGTGATCACTGTTTTTCATAAGTTGTTTCTTTATCGAAGAATCTCTGTTTTTAATATAGAAACGAATTATATGTCGGATCTTTTTTTTTTCGGAAGGATGTGGGGGCGTTTTGGCTGATCCTGTCTAAGATGGTGCAGACGTTTTTCTATTCAGTGGATCAAAAGTGTGTCTATTTAAAACAAAGCAAAGCTAATTGTTTTCTAAAAAAAAAAGGTTCGTGTGCTGCGACCAAGACAGTCGGACAATTATTCATTTCCCGTGTTTCGAATTTCTAAAACCCTGATCAGGGCGAGTACTGAAATGTGACGAGTTGTTCTCCTGACCCATAGAGGGCGCTCTAGACTATACTGAACACATCTTTCCTTTCAATAGCCAGGATGAGCAGCCATATAGGTAAGGTCCACCGCTTAGTGGACCGGAAACAAGCATTTGAAGGTGTTGCGGTGTCTGTCTGCAACCTACAGCTTCTGTCTATTGCAGATTTTAGGACTGACTTGAACGCTTTTATATGACGGCCACCACATTTTCTGGAGCTGAAAAAAAAAACATTCTAAAAGTTATTATTTCGAAGGTAATGAACAGAACAAAACGACGTTACCCACTCCTATGCGATTTAGAAAATGCATGTTAGTTTGAGTATGTTTTTGTCTTGGAAACCTGCATTTTTGAATGTAACATAGTTCATCATGAACTACGCTAAATTGCCACATCACAACCAAGATTATTGAACTCGATTTTAGGTGCCTTCAGTAACAACCGATCGCATTATTTGACCCACAGCTTATTTCGTGCGCACGCGAAATAAGGCGATATTCAGTGGATCACCAGTGGGTTAATTGTCAGCCCAGCTCGAAAAGTGTGTCTATTTAAAACAAAACAAAGCTAATTGTTTTCTAAAAAAAAAGATTCGTGTGCTGCGACCAAGACAGTCGGACAATCTGTTCACACAGTCCGCTGCCCGTGAAGGAGGAGCTATTGAAACTAACCCTCCAACCCAGCGGTTCAAAAAAATGGATACGCGTGAAGTTCATTCCTCCCTCCACAAGTTGTCCCCCGTCACCAAAACGAGACGGCAGAGCAGCGCTTTTCTCTGCCGCTGCCATGTTACGTAGTTGTTGTGTACACAACTTTTGAGTTTTTTTTTTCCCTCACCCCTTTTCTCCACTCCTTAGCCCGGTTGAGCCCGGTCCGCCGCCGCCCACTGCCTTTTTCCGCGGACGGTGCTCGGAGCGCAGTCCAGCCCGGAGCCCGGATCAGCCCGAACGACACCGGGGACGGAGCCGGGATCTGCAGTGCCCTGCCCGGCTTAGACACCCCTGATTACAAGCGGAGACAGTGGGAGTCAGAGCAGGTGGGGACGTCATTACCTTGAAAGCGAGAGAAAAAAAATTGTAGTGGTGTTTTTTTTATTATTATTATTTATCTGAAATGATAGAGGGGCTCTCCGTGCGAGAGATGTACAGGACGCATACGCGGTGATGCGTCACCCGAAGGCTGATCACGTCTTCTAGGCAAAAACAAGGTACGAAACATGGAGAGCGGCGAGTATAAGCTCTCTGTGGCTCTGGGATAAAAATCAACTTTTCTTTGTCCCACTCTGGTTGTGTACAGTTAAAACGACTGCGGAATCCTGTGTCTACATTGTCAATGCCGCGTCATATAATTTTATTATATTTCTACCGTGTGTGCGATCGCTGGTACAGCAACTTCGTGTTCTGTAACCTTAGAATAACTTTTTCCCCCCTCATCAGATGGACTGCTGTCTACATAGTCTGGGTGTGTTTTTTTTTTAATATTTGCTGCACCCAGAAGAAAATGCGTCGGTTTTAGGAGACGCAAGGTGGGGAAAAAACAGGGCAAAATATTTGCTAATCCAGAGAACTACATCAGCGGAAATAAAACTGAACTTTATAGACGACGGGTGAACTTACTTCCCCGATACACTGAAGTTGCATCTTCAGGGAAACGTACATGTATAAATAGAAAACTAATCGAGATCGCTTTTTAAAATGATTCGGGTTGGCTAAGTAGTATCTGAATGTTGAAATCAGCTGGTTTCGTAACTGAAGAACGAGAGAATCGAGTACTTTGCAAACAAAACAAAGATGAACGCGTCCTTTCAGTCTGAGCGTGATTATTTGAGAACCGGTGGAAAAACTGCAGTGTTAAATCCACAGTCGTGGGTGTCAACTGTCGGTTATACATTATTTTCCCTCTCATACAATATATTGTTAGTGCGCAGGAGGACGTGTGCAGAGAAAAAAAACATTTCCACGGAAATCACGCTGTATTAGTAACGTGACACCCACGGAGTCCTTGTACTGTATTTATGGACAAATACTCTCCACAGCCCGGCAGGGCGAGAGAACACACTGTTCCCGTTCTGTCTAGTCGTTAAAAAAAAAACAAGGCTCGACTTTCACCTTTGCCTTTGAAATATTTTGTTGTATAAACGGGTCTCGCATTGCTGCTTCCTTGCTTAGATTGACATTTTTGTCTGTTTTTTTTCCAGAAAGAAAAGACAACGGCAATAAAGAATATCGATTTTGGCGACCCCATTACCCTCTGGGGGAATTTACGACTGTTAATACGAAGCAGTGGGAGAAAAAAAAATCAGGTTATATAGTTTGGTGTCGTCCAGCTCCAGCCCGCAAAAAACAAATTACACTGAGTTGCCCGTGAAGGGCAAAACTTCACACTACAAAACACGCCACGCCGTTGCGACACGACGCGGAAGCGAACGGCTTCACCTTTCGTGTCGTTTCTGCAAACTGCGAGGTTTTAAATAGCAGCCTCTCGTAGCGCGTACCTTTTTAATGGAAAAAATAGTTTTTTTTTTTAAACTGTCGTCTTAAAACTTGAGACACCCGACACGATAACAGTGAAATACACGGTCTCCGTTCAATAAGTTTGTCTATTTTTTATATTGTTTTTCAACAAATTAAAAATGTTTTATATGAGAACTGTATATTTATACGTGTAAATAGTTCCGCGTTCAAACTGTTAAAATATTATTATAAACAGTTTAATTCAGCAGTTGCTTTGTATTTTAAAGTGGCAAGTAATTGAAACAGTATATTGTAAATTGCTAGAAAACGAGAATAAAACCTGGAATTTAAGTAAATCGTCTTTGTAAGGAAACGTTCTGGGAGCTGGAAAAGCATAGCCCAAGATATTATACTAGTTTAAGATACTTATAGCCTTAAAAGTGAATAGAAAAAAATAATAATGCAGGTTACGTCTCGCTGCGTGTATACGTTTTATATTGCGTGTAAACTGGAATATCCATCGCAATAATGGAAAAAGTAATGCGACACTACGTCTCGAAAGTACCTTTACTCAGGGCTGTAAAAGCGACAGTTTTCAGTCTCGTTTGACGAAATTTGTTTGTTTGTTTTTTCCACCCCTCTCAGGACAGCCGTTAATGACCTAACCCGCGAAGGGAACCGAGAATTATAGCGGGCTTTTACCGATGTTAAAACGTCCTTTTGCGAGGGAAACGAAGATAGTTTAGGAGGGAAAAACGCTGCCGTTTTACGAGGGAGCTGGGAGGACAGGGCGGGAGAGGAAACGGGTAAGGTCGTCATTTTCGAGAGAAGGCGGCGGAGCTCGCCGGCCCCGCTGGGCGACACCGGTCATGGCGGATCACAGCGCGGAGACGCTCGGCCACCCGCAGCTCCAGGCCGCGAGTAAACAGGACCCGCCGGAGACGGGGCCCGGAGAGGCAACGAAACCGGGGCCAGCCGCCGAGCCGCCCTTTTCGGAGTGGGAGGCCAGCCGGCACCCCGGGAGCCCCAGTCTAAAGGCGGGCGGGGAAGCGGGGCGCCCGGCTCTGGGACAGGCGGGAGCCGAGGAGCCCCGAGGCCCAGAGGCCGCGGACGGCGCGAGACAGGAAGGCCCGGCCGCGCGAGGCCCTGACGACCAGCCCGGAGCGGAAGAGGAGGGTCCGGGCGGCGACAGATCGGACGACAACAGCCCCTCGGAGGCCGAGTCCGGCTCGCTCTCCGCCCCCAGCCTGGGGCTGTCGGAAGGGGACGGCTGCTACCTGGACGAGCCCCTGTCTTCGTGCTCGGCCCCGGGGCCGGAGGAGGCCTCAGAGGCGGGGGCAGGCGTGGCCCACCCTGTAGCGGACGCCTCCGCCGCCGGCGCTGCTGCTGCTGCTGTTGCCCAGGAACCGGGAGCCGCGCCCGCCTACTACTTCGTGAAGTGGATCACATGGAAAGGGAAGAAGACCCCCATCGTCACCCAGAGCGAAAACGGCCCCTGCCCGCTGCTGGCCATCATGAACATCCTGTTCCTGCGCTGGAAGGTAAGAGTACAGCCCACGGGTTTTAAACACCTGCGAACGGTTAGTCTTAACGAGCTCCCAGTTACTTGATCTAACACTCACCTGTTTCACGGTTCACAATGGAGTTGTTCCGTCTCTTTCGAAACTGGTGATGTAATACTGACCTTCAAAGCCTGCTGGACCAGGTTTTCTCCCGGACCAGGGTCGGGGATCTCTCCTTTAGCTACTAATTATCAAACGGTCCGAGTGGACTTAACGCCCCCCGGTTGTAATCATATTCTGGTGACAGGCCCTGATCCGTACACATGGGAACTCCACGCTGAAGCAGGACCGTGGCGACCCCCGAGGGCAGACAGACCCCGAGGGCCTGGAGTCGTGAACTTGTGCCTGCCCTGTTTTAACCTCACCCCGTCTGACCTTTCTTCTCCTCCCCTCCCAGGCCAAGCTGCCCGCCCAGACGGAAGTCATCACCACCGAGGAGTTGATGGCACATCTGGGTATGACGCCATCGGCCTGCGTGTCTGTTCAGATTTGGGGAGGGTTATGCTGTGCTTGAAATGGATGTATTATGGGAACGAATATTAATGAGCTCCTGGCATTTCAGAAGCAGCTTCACCATCCCGGCCTTAAGGGATCTAAAGGTTCCACCTTCTGTGTATATAAAGCCTTGTTTGGACTTATTGGCTCTGGGTCAGGGCAGCACATTGGCGCAGTGGTGAGCATTGCTGCCGCACAACGCTGGGGCCCTGGGTTCAATTCTGGACCTGGAGTGCTGTCGGGGTGGAGCTTGCATGTTCTCCCCCATGTTTATGTGGGTTTCCTAGGGGCTCTGGTTTCCCCCCACCGTCCACAGACATGCTGGATGGTTACTTGGCTCTAATGTGTCTGTTTATGTCTGTCTGCCCCATGATGAGCAGTTCCAGCTCCCCTGCAATCCTAAACCCGGATGGATGGGTTCTGGCTCCGCTTTGGCTTGTTTTCTAAGCCCTGTGACGCAGCCAGAGCCATCACTTTCCGGACGTTTAATTCATAGCGACTGCGTACCATTGGAAAAACCGCCGCCAGCCTAGGAATGTCCTCCTTGTACGACAGATTGTTTTTTTTCCTATCAAAGTAACCTGAATTTCTCAAAACGCATTTCACAATAGGTACACAGTCGAACAAATTATTAAACTGACATCTGATAAAAAAACTTTCCAAACGGCGGTGATTGCCCTTGATCGATCAGTGCAAGTGGATGATGGGGCCGGTTTTGCGCAATGGAAGTGTCCCTCCGAGCCCCACCACTTGCTTTCGTCCATATCCCTGTCCCGGCTCCGAAACCGCGGAGCAGGAGCTCAGGAAGCGGGGATTTCCGCTGTTCTCCCTGTACAGGGCCCACGGTCCCTTCCCGGGCTCCCTCGCCTTGTACGACGTATTTGTTTGAAAAAATCAAAATAGGCTTTATTTCCAAAACAGCATCTCACAGAGGAAAAACGTTCTCACAAATTTGGTACACGTTCTGACTAGGTATGAACTCAGCATGCAATGAAAACTTTCTGAACGGCGGCAATTGTCCATGATCAGTCTGTGCAAGTGGATGATGGGGCTGGATTTGCGCAATTAAAGAAAAACTAAGGTTGCTGCTGGAAGAGGTGTTAGTGGGGCCAGCAGGGGGTGCTCACCCTG